CAAAAACTTTTGAATCAGGCTTTCAAAAACTTGAATTCAGGGAATCGACTTGGCTTTGAGGAACAATGTGCTTAGCTAGAAATGGTAAAGGGACCATTGTGTAGATGCTGGGGAAATTGAACTTACAGATAACTACCTTTAATGCTTCTTTTTCTAGTTCATCAAAGGTACTGAAGATTATTGCTGGAGCTTTTAGACAACTCTCTGCTTCCTCACCCAGATGTGACCTCATTGGGATCAAGTGCTCTGAAAAAGCTTGGCAGGCCCCTGAATTTTACGTTGCTCATGCCACAAATTTAATCAACAGGTTTATCAAGGGTACCATATGTGAGGAAATCGTAATCTGGGACAGGAAAACGAATTGGATTTTCAAAATTGTGGAATAATTATATCAGCACTAGAAGGAAATAAACTTTATAATTGTCTAATATGTGAATAGCCCTCGTGATGAGGAAGCTATTGTTTTACCATCTTATTTGGGTTAATCACACTTTGCCCTTTGTGCTTTAGAGAGAATAACGCGTTACCACTTTCAACTTGAAATATAAATACTTTGCCCCCCAAGGTAAAGGCGTTAATTCTTTTAACACTGATAGGTCACAAGAACATTTTTACACCTAAATTAACCCTGTGAAAAAGTGTGCCTTTCCAAAGTTCACGGAGCCAAATGTACACGTCTTTAGCATTTGCGGTAGTAAAGTGTCATTATATCCAAAGAATAGAGACTTTAGAAACATAATCCAATATTTTTCTTTTGTGCTGGATAACCTTATTTGTCCTAATATTCATTGAAAATTACAAGTATTAACCTTTATCAAGATCTTTGATGTAAAGCGTTGACAAAAGAAATGAGGTATTTTTAAAAAAATTAATAAATTTGGTGTCAAAAATCTTTTTCGTTATTCTTAGGTAGTGTTTCAAACTTTTTATTTGAAAGCATTTTTTTCGAGATTTATATTTCAAAAGATAAAAATAAATGAAATATTACTAAAATTTGATGATTATATTTATATGATTATATTAAAGGGTTAATATCAAAACCTCCCTTGAGGTTTTCTCTAATGGTCTATTGGGATTAATATCTAGCCCATTGGGATTTATTGAGACTTTCGTGATTTTTGGCTCGTTGGGACCTACTAAGGCCTTTGTGATTCTGGTTTGCTTGAATTTGTTAAGACTTTTTGTGTGTGTGTATATATATATATATATATTTTATCTCATTGGGATCAATTGAGACTTTTGTAATTTGCCCATTGGGACTCATTGAGATTTTTTTAACATTAACTCATAGGGGCTTCAAAGGAGAAGGTGAAGCAAATTTATTAGGGTAAAATACACTAAACCCCCTTATGGTTTGAATTATTGTCATAAAACTTTCTCATTGTTTAAAAACCCCTAAAGAGCCCGCTCGTGGTTTAGACTAATTTGGGTAACGAACAGAAATCATCCAATTTGATAGAAAAATATGAAATTCCTATATTAACCTTGTTTCAACCTATACTAAAAGTTAGTTCAGGGTTTACATAAGATTTTAAAAATTTTTTCACTTTATTTGAGAATAAAGAAACATCAAGTGGCTCATTTGAAAATTTCAAAACTTATCTTCTTCTCCAAATCTCCACTTTTTCCTTCAACAATAGTAGAACAGCTACCAATTACCACTGCCACCATTCAACTAAAATCCAAATCAAGACAAGACCGAAATTTTACTTTCTTAATTCTCTCAAATCTTGCATATTCATGGAGAAATTTATCAATGTTATCATCCCATGGGTAATCTTGTAAGTCTAGCATCTAAGCTCCTTCTATGGGTAATTTATCTGTGGTTTCTTTCTTAACTATAATGCAAATGTCCGAATGGAGATGAACTAAACAACATTATTGCCACTAATTTTCTTTGAAAACAACCTGCATACCAGAAAAATTCACTAATTTCACTAAAATAAATTCCCTAAATTTGCCATTATCCTACTTAGTAATGCTGCTAGAAAAACTTACGGCTACCCAACTTTCAAAATTTCCCCAACAAATCGACAACAGTAGTGAGAACTAGCAAAAGCCCAAGTTGATTTATTTGCAATTAAAGAAGGGGGTCTTCTGCACAATCGTAGCCGTCAAAATTCATAACAAAGAGCCCCCCAGAAATCCAGAGTATCATCAAGGGTTCTAACTTTCCAATGACTCTTCCTAGAAACGCAAATTTTGATTGACCGGGCAGAAACAAATCTTCCTCTGCAGCATAAGTCCGCACAGTAATCCTCCTCCACTACCTTCATTTTTCAGTTCCTTGAGTTTTCCGGCTACCTCCGTTCTGACTCCGTTCCATTCTTTCCAAACATTGGACGCTGTCGACGAAGATGAGGTTGTCGATTCAGCACCATCCGACGACAAGTCCAATGACGAGAAGTCAAAGTCACAAGATTCTCCACCGCATGACTGCATGCTCCTATGCGACCCTATACTGCTCAGCCTTCGCCGTCTTCGGCGATCATCCTCCTTTTTTTTCTTGATCTCAGGACCCATCAGATCACGGAAACTAATTGCCGACACATCGCTGAATATTTCAAAATCGAAACAAGTGCTGCTGCAAATCGAAGCGGCGATGTTAAGGACTCCGTGAAACCTACCGGAAAGACACTGGATTTGGACCGCAGTGAATGCCGGAGTTCCAATTGCATCGGCCGAAGAGGGGAATTTGCCGAGGCAACTGCTTAGCAGAAACCATACAGTGCTTTCTGGTTTGCTGCACCAGTAGGTGGGAGAGAGAGGGAAAAGAAATAGAGAAAGAAAGAAAATAAAAGAAAAGTAAGATTAACAAAGGTTAGTGTTGATTTTGCTTCAGTTTTTCACTCCAGATGGTTCAGGAGAAAGAAGAAAAATGAAGAACAAGGAAAGAAAAAAAGAAAAAAATTATCACATTATCCTTGATGTATTCTTATCACACTCGCTTATCAAGCATGTGTAATTCACTTCCCGTCAAATTAGATGATTTCCGTTTGTTGTTCAAATTATTCAAACCACGAGGGGGTTCTTTGGGGGGCTTTCAAACAATGAGTATGCTTTATGACAATAATCCAAACCACAAAGAGTTTAGTGTATTTTACCCAATTTATTATTTTTTGATTTTTCGTATATCAGGTGCAAAGTTTTTCGTGTTGGTAGCCCAACAATTTAACATGAAGATCAAGTTTTGATCTCCTGTTAAAGACAAAAGTCAGTAACAATCTTGGTTCATATACGGTACGAATTTCAATTGCTTGGTGCTTATAAACATAGAAAGACTTCAGAAGCTTTTGAACCGCCCTACCACAGCCCCAAGAGATGATAGCTCACTAGGAAAATCTTTTATTTTTTGAGTACTCTCTCGTATTGTCACTTCCTTGTTTTGGGGCTTTAGAAATTTTGTTCTACATTTTATATTCGTCTTCACTATAATAGATTTTGCTCACCTTTTCTGGTGGATGTAGATCTAATTGATTGAACTATGAAAATTTTTGTATCATTATTTTTTTTCCAATGGATATTCTATCTCACTTCCTATGCTATTATCTGTCCCATTTTTTATTATATTATTATTTCTCCTTTATAAACATCATAGTTTAGTTCTTTTTTATTTCCTTTACATCCAATAACTATTAATTGAGTAAACAATAAATACAACAGTCTAAAAAAATTAATATATAATAGCAAATTAAAAAATACAGTAGAAATTCATAAAAAATGTCATTTGTCATGCATTTTGAATTTTTTGAATTGTGTGCATTGTTCAATTAATAGTTATTGGATGTTAAAAAGATAAAAAAAAACTAAAATATGATATCTATGAAGGAAAAATAGCAATATAATAAAAAATGAGACAGAGAATTGCACAAGAACTGAGACAGAAGATCCGTTGCATTTTTTTCTCCACTTCAATCAAGCCATCAAACACTATTTATACTCCTTTCGTCCCACTTGGATAGTCCTGTTTTCCTTTTTCGTCTGTCTCAAATTGTAGTCCACTTTCTAATTAAAAAATGTAGGTGTCTTTTAATTTCTTTAAAATACCCTTATTCGATGTAAATTGTTATTACTATAAACTACCTTATTTAATATAGATTGTTAGTATTGAATATAACCTACCCTATTTAATGTATTTAGATTTTCCAAAACATATTGATATATGAAAATCCAACTTTATTTAATGTAAGGATACTTTAGGAAAATAATAATCTAAATTTATTTTTCCAACACAGTTAACTACTTTTTTTTAAACTGTATGAAAAAAGAACTAGAACTATCAAAATGAGACAGAGAGAGTACCAGGTTTATTGAGCTTAGCTCGCAAGCACTCCAAGCTGCACAATCCATTCGACAAAAAGCTCCCTATGTTTAGTTCTTCCGTGTCTTAAGATGTTTAGGTACAAACAAACCAATATCAAGTGACAAGAAGTATATGATATATTATGCTTAGGAATAAATTTAGATGATCAAGAGCTAAAGAATCACAGTTAGTGGAAAGAATCCCTTATGAAGTGCATCAAATAATTGTTAGTTTCAACACATACACATGAAAAACTTCTATTGCATCACTAGATACTTAATTATTATTAGTAACTAGAAGTATAAAAGCAACAAGACAAATTAATAGCATGATAACAGCTAACAGGCTTGGATCAATGAGCTCGGTTTGCACCGGCATGGTGAAAAACTACTCATAACCATAGAAAGTAATGAATTTTGCCAAATTCTAGTTATATGTCTAGCATTTCAAATGCAATCTTGCATGTTAATTTATGTGCATGCTGTAGATGCATGTACAATCAATCACTTTGGTTCCATATCTTGCAGGTTAATAACTTGGGTAGAGTGTAGTATATTAGAATGAAGACATAGAATTCAACTATGCATTTTATTGTAAGGACTTCAAAATTAATGAATATCGAGACTAGGATATTGGCCTTTTCAATAATAGTGTCTGCACGATTAATTACCGGTCATGTGAAAAAATCCCAACTAATCTAGCCGTTGACAGTACAAGCTGTGTAGAGCCAGTGACCAGTGACAACAATCCGAAGAAAATTCTCCAAGTCCTTTAATCTGCATTGAAACACGCAAAATGGTTATGAAATTAGAGAAAGAACTTTTTGGAATAGTCTATAATCTTTATTTCATTGATTGATCTTGTTTAACCTTCTTGCTTTTTTCTTTTGTCGGTCCTTCTTCTGCAGAACAGGACACTTGAAGGAGTGTAGATACTTAGATCCTTTGTCAACTTGTGCGAGCTCGGGCAGGGTATGCATAAAATCAATACCGATGAATCTAGTAATCCTGTGATATCTGTATGCTAGATCAGACACAAGAGGAACTTGTAGGAAGCATCTTTTCATTAGATTATTCTGTCTCTGAGCATATTGATTGAAGATGACCCATATAGCCCCAAGCAGAGGCTGTTAAAAATTTAATAACAGGAACGACCATAATTTGGCAGCTTCAAGGCGTGATTATGAAAAAGCGAAACACGGCACATTTGCACTCAAGATTTGCAGTTTAGGTAACAAACTACATAGGATTTTATATAAATTGTTGCCAGTAGAAGTCGTGATGTTACTTCATGGCCTGTATACTTTTTACATATCTGCCTTCATTATGCCGTGTTAGTGTTTTCTTCAATTTCATGATGAGCAATTAATAGATATTGTAGCTAAGAAAAAAAAAAGAAAAAAAATTGACGCTTTATTGAACCTTCTAAATGCAACGTTCTTCTTGATCCAAGGCATGCAACTCCAAATACAGATGTGGTTTAAAATGAATAGGACTAATATAGACCAAAATGAAAGATGATAAGCAGCAAAGGAGGGAAGAAGGCTGATTGAATTATTTTGAGTATCAAAGCCATTTCAGCCAATTCTTTTCCTTTCATGCCATAGAAGAAACATTTTTTGCAACTCATCCCTTGTAATGAAGAGCCTCATTGATGAACTTGTCAAAATTAATGTAAGATGATCCCCCTACTTAGTTGCTTCCTCAGCTTTCTTCTTCCATTCTTTAGCTTTGAACCTCATTTTTTCCCCTTCCTCTCCCACAATCACTTTGCGTACAAGTTCTGCAACTTCATCACGCTTCACATTGTGAATTATTTCCATTCCAATTCCCCATTTCTCACAAGAGTAATGACAATTCGTTTGCTGATTAGCAAAGAAAGGCCAGTAGATGACAGGCACACCAGCACAAATAGTTTCCATCATAGAATTCCATCCACAGTGTGTCAAAAATGTGCCAACAGCTAAATGCTCCAACACTTTCTCCTGTGCACATCAGCTTGTTAAGAACCCCCGATCCTGAATCTCTTCCAAGAAATCTTAAGGCATCATTACTGATTCTCCTCCCGGCACTACATCAGGCCGCACAATCCACAAGAACTGTTGCCTGCTAGTAGCAAGTCCCCAAGCAAATTCTCTGAAATGATGGTCAGTCATGGTTGTTACACTTCCATAATTAACATAAACAACCGAGTTTGGTGCTCAACAACTGAGTTTGGTGCTCTTTGATCCAGCCACTCAAAAACTTTCAAGTTAGGCTTCCATAAACTTGAATTCAGGGAATTGACTTGACTTTCAGGAACAACGTGCCTGGCTAATAATTGTAGAGGGCCTATTGCATAAATATTTGGGAAATTGAACTACAAAATGATTGCCTCCAATGCTTCCGTTTCAAATTCATCGAAGGCATTGAAGATTATTGCTGGAGCTTTTAGACAACTCTGTGCTTCCTCTTCCATGAAATCAAACATAATGTCATTGGGATCGGTTGTTCTTAAAAAGCTTGGAAGGTCCTTGAATTTTACATTGCTCATGCCACAAATCCAATCAACAGGCGTATCAAGAGTACCATCTGTAAGGTAATCGTCATCTGGACAGAAAAACGAAAAATTGTTTTTCAAGATTGAGGAACAATTATGAAGACTGTGAAGCAATCAAAATCAAAATTCAGACATTTGAACAACCATCCTTATCAAGTTTTATTCCTTTCAGTATCTGTGTTTCAGAAAATTCATATAGGATTATCTACCAAGGTTGTTGACGCATTAATTAAAATGGTAAAAGAAAGAAGAAAAATTAAAAAGGCTGCAGTTGTTGTTTACGACAGCTAATATGTATCATTAGTTTTGCTATCAACAACTTATCACTGCACATGTATACTTGCTCATGTGGAAGCCCATATCAGTAGGTCTAATTGAAGGAGTTACTTAACATATTGCAATCCTATCTTTCTTTTTGTGATAATTTCCTTCTTTAAGGTTTTTTGTAATATCACTTAGCATTAGTGGTGGAGTCAGGACTTATAATCATTGGGGCTCGTACTGTATTCCTAAATTGATATTATTGTTATGTTAAAAAAAGTAGTTTACATTAAGATTGTATTTTATCTTGAGTTTTCAAGTTTTAACCTTCTAACATTATTTCTTTTCCATATCCTATTCAATTTTGTATGTTAATAGCTTCAAAACAATTTCACCAATGGAGAGATGTCTAGAAGAAAATACTAATATTTTTTTTGGTGGGGGGGGAGGGTAATGTTTGGGGAGATTGGGATTTTTCAACATATAAGGGGCAATGTAAAGCAAAAATTGTATTTTCCAAAATTTAAGGGTTACAATTATAAGAAAAAAACTAAAAAACTTTCAAACCTTTCAAGCCCATCCTTCATTATAGGGTGGCTCTATCATTGCTTATCATTCATGAGATTTTCAAAATATTCCTTACCTCATTAGTTTGAAAAGTCTAGATATTTCATTAAATGCCATCAACTTACGACATTACCCTTGCACTATTAATAACTACTGTTTTACCAAAAAAAATCCAAAAGGAAGAAAAAACTTTTAAACAAAAAAATTATGGACAAAGGATAACCAAATTGATATTCCAAATTGGTTTGTATTTCTCTGTGTCTCCAATTGGTACTTGATCTTAGTCTATAGTTGGTCACTTGAAGAATTTTAGTAAATAATTAACACCTTGGAGAATTTTATCAGTCGAATTTGTAGAAGACAGGTAAATTTTTTTAGAAAGTGCATTCTAATAAATGATGTTATGTAAGTTGCATTTAAAATTAAATTAATATTTTCATACATGTGGTTTGCCTGCAACCTCCACTTATAAAAAAAGTTATTGAAAATATTAGTTTAAGAATTATTTTGTAACAAAAAATTTTTTAGCTTCACTATTACCCTTATTTATCCTATTTATGAAGCTGACAATAGAAATAAAAATTAAAATAAGGCTAAAAGGTAAATGTAAAAATATGAGAGGTTGCATGTAAGAAACTTGAGTCGGACGGAATTCCTTGCTCCCACGCGTTTGCAGTTATGAAAGCCGAAGATATGGACGAGATTCCTAAATCATGCATTCTGTTTAGATGGACTCAGTAAGCAAAGCCAGCAGAAAAAAAACATATATGCTATTCAACTTGAAGATTCAGCAATTCAAACAGCTCGATTTGGTGCTTTATGTGCATTAAGTAATCAAATGTGTTTTTATGCAGTTAAGGCACAACAAGGATATGATGAAGCTAGAGATTGCATTATAAATTCAGCATCTCATTTCAAAAATATTTGGGTGAATGATGCACCTCTAGTGCATAAAGCTAAACGAAAGGATAATATGATGGATAAGTCCACAAAGAGGAGTGATTTTGATGTTCGTGATCCAATTCTGTAACAAAGTCCATAAAGCAAAAGTCCTACTTATTTGCACCTTTCCTGTAACATTATTTTTTGGTGCAATTTTCTATTTTAGTTATCCATCCGACACTAGTATGGGCATAGATACAGATTAAGCAACTAGTTTGAGGAGTAATATTTTTTATTATAAAATTAATTTGAATTGAATTAACAAGTTGATATTTTCATAAAAAAAAGTGTAATTTTTTGGGACTTAGATTGTCATTTTTGAAAAATTTTAAAAAACTATATTTTAGCAATTGTTATCATTGACACTTAATTGTCTAGACCAACTTTTATCAGCATAAAATTAGTGTCATTAAGAATAATTGAAGTTCTGACAGCAATACTCTATTCAAATGTAAATATTCAACCCAAGTAACAAAATAAATGATAACTAAACAAATGAAATATGAACTCAATTGATCGTGTTCAGACAACAAATTCTATTAATGGATAATTAGTATATACTAAATTGTATTTCCATTTGTAGAAAAACAATATGCATTTTATATCTACTAACGAATAAATTACTGATGTTTTAAACGAATCAAACCTAAACTCATGGTGTGATATGTATGTAGTTGCTCACATTTATAATTATGCCATCGTGCTTTCTTTCCATTTTCTTTTTAATAGTGCAAATTTCTTTTGATTATATTGGTAAAAAATAACATATTTTACTAATTATTCCAATTTATTTAGAAAGTGTTACCAATTTCATTAGAAATTATGCAATGTAAAAATGGTTTAATAATTTTTTACTAAACATAAATACTGCATACAAAAGGAAAAGATATTGATTTTGTTTTACTTTGATTAGAAAAAATTGTGGTAGTAATAACGAAAATGGTGACAGTGGTGCAAATTTCGTATCAACAATCAACGTACATTTGGTTACGGTAATTTTTTAGTAGATCAGACTAATATATGCCATAAAGTAGTAAGATTTAATCATCTATGAATTGACAATTTTAGCAGTTTATATACCCTTCACCTATAAAAAATTATGATTATTATAAAATGACATCTTATAATAATTTACATAATATTTGCCAATTAAAAATAAGTTTGATTAAAAAATATGCATACAAATCCATAATGTAAATGATACAAAATTTGTTTGAAAGTCACAAAACTTAATATATGGGTAAATTTACTATAATTTTCAAAGATCATGCTACATTAATACACCATTAACTTTTATACTTGTGACCTAGAAAATAAATTTATTAAAAATTTACCATTTTATTAAATTCATAAGTATTAATACATGGAAATTGTGATGTATAGATAAGTGCTATTCTATAGATAACTCGAAAGATTTGTTGTTATTGTTATTCAAACTTTTTAACCTTTCACAAATTAAAAAATAATTCAAAATTTGTAAAATGGCAAATTATTCTTACATATTTTATAAGTTTATGTGAAAAAATAGTCTTCATAGTATATTTAAAATGCTTAAAACACATAACATTTATAAACGATGCATAAAATCGTTTATTATACATTTACATTATGAGCAATTACTAACTATAATACTTAGTTTCAATCATTAATAAAAAATCTTAGCATTATTTTAAATAAACTTCCTAATACTTGTTTCATATAAGTTTCTTTAAGCAAAATAGTAAATTTATGCCACAAACTAGTAAGTTTTGACGATTAACCAAATTTACTATTCTATCATCAAGATTTACTATTAATCTATAAAAACTTACTATTACTTGAAATAAACTTACTCTCCAAAAAGTAAGTTTCCAATATAGAGTAGTAATTTATTTTAAAAAAAGTGACTTTCATATTTAATTTGATTTGCCTTTTAAGATCTAAAAGTTATTAATTTATCTGGTTAACTTACTATTTTTAAAGTGAAATTTACTAACCAAATTTTTAGGTATTATCTTATTTAGATGACCAGTCCAATAGATAATCAAATGATCGTTAAAATTATTTTGACCTATCATATTAGGTAAAACCAGTTTCGTTATCATAATTTTGTTATTCAGACTTTTCCAAAAATGGAAAAGAAAAAGCATTTGTTTTTGTTCGGTAGACAGAAAATGCATTGGCAAACTTGTCTCTAAACCTTTCTCAGTCCCTCGCTGTCCCTCTCTCGTACACAACATCATCTTCCAGACCAATATGACCTTACACAGAGTCATTCTTACCCGGTATTTACTTCTCCATCTTGAGTCATTCTTACCAATGAAAATAAGTCCAAGAAGTCTTGGCAGCCTATCGGTTTGCGTCGTTCTCTGGAAAGGTCCTTCTTTTTAGCGTTGTTCTCCAGAAGGGTCCTTTTTTTCTTGATTTCACCATGAGAAAGCTACTAGCAAACAAGGGGAAGAGCAGCTCCCAAGAAGGGTCAGCAGAGCAAGGCAAGCAGCAAAGGCACTATGCTCTTGGTTCTTTTGCCATTTGACCCTCACAAGACAAGATCATTATACAACCTTGAGATGGTCTAAAACTTGCACCTTTACTACAAAAGTTGGTTTTTGAAGTAAAACTTAGTACTTCATCTCTGTGTTTTAATTTTTTTCTTTCCATATCTGAAAACTTTCTAGGAACATCATTCATGGCTCAATGAGGCTGGAGTTGTGCTACCAGTCATCAAGCACGACCCAGGCTCAGGTAACGACTCTATCTCCCAATATTTGGTATAATATTTTACTAGTAGTGAGCAGTAGTTTTGGACATTAATGTATTTGTTAACCTATTTTTAAGATATGTTGTTATGAACCGAGTCTCATGAATGGTGATGGAGCTAATCATCTGATCAGCTACAATGATGGTCAAATGAAAAGTAGTTGAAAGTTAGTTACTGCCAGCAAGCAAGAAGTTAACCGTTTGCTAGAATAATAATAGTTAGTATAATATTTTACTAGTAGTGAGCAGTAGTTTTGGACATTAATGTATTTGTTAACCTATTTTTAAGATATGTTGTTATGAACTGAGTCTTATGGATGGTGATGGAGCTAATCATATAATCAGCTACAATAATGATCAAATGAAAAGCAATTGAAAGTTAGTTACTGCCAGCAAGCAAGAAGTTAACCGTTTGCTAGAATAATAATAGTTAGTATAATATTTTACTAGTAGTGAGCAGTAGTTTTGGACATTAATGTATTTGTTAACCTATTTTTAAGATATGTTGTTATGAACTGAGTCTTATGGATGGTGATGGAGCTAATCATATAATCAGCTACAATAATGATCAAATGAAAAGCAATTGAAAGTTAGTTACTGCCAGCAAGCAAGAAGTTAACAGTTTGCTAGAATAATTGACTCCGTTTGGATTAGCTGTTTTTGGGGTGTTTTTGAAAAATTTTACTGTCGCAGAGTTTTTAAAGTATATTTTGGGATATTTTTAGAAAATATTTTGGAATTTAAGAGTAGTAGAGTTTTTAAAATATATTTTGGGATATTTTTTAAACATTAAAACAAATTTAAACTATTTTTTAGGGTACCTTTTAGAGTACTTTTTAAAATATTTTATAGTATTTGAAAAACTAGTTTTTGAAAAACTCCTAGATCCAAACAAGTGTTAGTTAATAGAGGGATTTGAGCAATGCTTATTGCTAAATCTTTAGCCCACTTTTTGTATATAAATAGAGGATTGATTGTATCTTAGGCAGCGATGATTTGAGTTGTAATAATTTCTCCTCTCTGAAATAATAAAATCCTCCCATTCTCCCTCAACCTTTTCTCTGATACTTACCTCTTTCTTGGTTCTCACTTCTTCTACTTTCTCCCTAAACTCTCTTTTCTAAACCAGATCATTACATATGTGTCCTATAATATAATATTTAATATTTTAGTTTAGTATTAGTGAGTAATATTTAGTATAATATTTTACTAGCAATGAGCACTAGTTTTTGATGTTAATGTGTTGTGTTTATTAATCTGTTTTTTTAAGATATGTGTCCTATAATATAATATAATATTTTAGTTTAGCAGTAATAAGGAGTGAGCACTAGT